TATCCCATGCCCACAAGGTCTAGCTTTGATGTTGAAAATAACTTAAATCCCACAAGATTGCTAGAAGGATAAAAGGAATCTAAACTTATAGCAGGGCTTAGATAGGTATAAGGAAGAGGCAATGGCCTTTCTGCCCCTAAGGCCAGGACACCCCAGCCCTACAGGCAGCACAGAGTTAACTACCCATCCGCTTTGAGAAGCACAAAGGTACATCACTGCAACATGCCTAACATTTACATTGCCTCTCTCTGCTCATTAAACAGGTTTTGGTTAAATAATGAACAAACTGTATTACAGACTCCGATGAGAATTCCAAAATTATAAATCAACTGGGAAAGCCCAAAGGGGCAGACAGACAGGGAGGGGGTAGAAGGATAATATTGACTAATATAAAGGGCGCAGCTTGACAGTGGATATTCCTGCCACACCTGATCAAATACACTCTGTGGGGGGAGGGGAAAGAGAGCAAGAGAGGGGAGATGGGACAAGACAGCCTGAAATTTGCATCCGGAAAAGATTAAAACAGATTCTTTGGGGATAGAGAAAATACATAATATATATTACTATAAATGCAAAACTGTACTAAAAGCTAACTCAAATGTCAAAGATTACAGCTTGAATAAATTTAAATATAAAAGCCATGTGCTTCCTTGAGTTAATGAGAGAGACATAAAAGGACAAACTGGGCCAGGAGGCTGAAGAGAGCCTTATGCTGCCTTTGCTGGGCAATGGGTCCAAAGCATAGTAGTGACTATAGTCACAGACTTCCCTCTATAGCTCTGAACCCTGAGAAAAAACTGGTGAATCCATCACTTTTGCAGTCTACACTTGCTTTTTTCTTTTTTTTCAGCTTTTGGCTGGGGCTGGGTTGGAACCCACCACCTCCAGCATATGGGGCTGGCCCTACTCCTTGAGCCACAGGTGCCGCCCTACACCTACATTTGCTTTTTAAAAAAATTAAAGGCTAGGTATAGTGCCTCACACCTGTAATCCCAGCACTTTAGGAGGCTGAGGTAGGACGATTACTTGAGACCAGAAATTCAAGACCAGCATTAGTAACATATTCAAGACCCTGTCTCTACAAAAAACTTAAATATTAGCCAGGTGTGGGAACACACCCCGATAGTCCCAGCTACTCAAAAGGCTAAGGCAGGAAGACCATTTAAACCCAGAAGTTTGTGGTCACAATGAGCTATGATGATGACATCACTGCACTCTAGACTGGACAACTGTCTTTTTCTAGACATTGTCTAGAAAGAAAGAGAAGAGGAAGGGAAGGGAAGAGCTAAGAGATAAAATTCACATCCCATAAACTTTACCTTTTTAAAGTATACAATCCAATGGTTTCTTGTATATTCATAAAGTTATGTAACCATCACTACTATCTAATTCCAGAACATTTTCAACACTCTAAAAAGAAGCCTTATACCCATTAGCAGTCACTCCCCTGCTCCTTCACAGTCCCTGGTAACTGGACACCTGCTTTAACCTCCTGAAAGGCTTCCTAAAAGAACAAAAAGCCAAATGAGGGAGAACAGTCAAATCTCTCTCACTGATGGTAAGCTAAAGCTTTATCCAAAGTAACAATATGCAAACTTTGAAGCTGGGAGAATGTGGCTCATGCTTGTAATCCTAGTACTCTAAGAGACCAAGATGGGCGGATTGCTTGAGCTCAGGAGTTTGAGACCAGCCTGAACAAAAGCAAGACCCCGTCTGTACTAAAACTAGAAATAAATAAATAAATAAATAAATAAGAGGATGGCTTGAGCCCAGGAGTTTGAGGTTGCTGTGAGCTATAACACCATGGCATCTACCCAGGGCAGGTGACAGAGTGAGACTCTGTCTCAACAATATGCAAACTTTGCTCTTAGGTACCCTTTCTCTTCCAAATGCAACCCTCTCTTCATAATTGGTATTAGAATATCCTATTACTCTAAATGCTATCAAGCATGCAGTCATCATATGATCTGGACAAATACTGATTACAAATGTGAGCCAAAGACGTATATGTGAGAATAACTGGTACGAACTTAGCCAATCTCACTGAACATAATGGACTTATTTCCTTCACTATGAATAGATAATACTCCTGGAGGACTTATTTCCTTCACTATGAATAGATAATACTCCCAGAGGTGTGCTTATATACTTAGAATCCTCTGACTGTACTTTACAAGAAATGAAAAATAAATCATTTTGGTGTAATGACAATGTCCAATGAACCACTCATTTCCAACAGTGATAGTCTAACCAACCAAGCCAGCAAATAGCCTAGGAAACTGTAAGCATAAAGCCTTTGCAAAAAAAGGACCATGCCCAAGTCAATTTCATGAGTTAAACTGGTTAGAAGTCCTAGAATTCCTGTCATCCCTTCTCCAATTTAAGTGGTACACCATAACTGGTCACATAACATGGGCACAGTCCCTTCAGTTTCTCTCTCCAAGTTCAAAACCCTTTCCCAGCCTCCTACCATTAACAAGCTTCCAGGAAAGCAGTCCTCCTGACACTGCCAATCAGAAAAATCTGTTTGTTTCAGTAAAAGAAACAAGAAATTGGTCATGGATTGCAAAGTCCAGGACCACAGGGGCAGCTGACCCATAAACCTGCCTGGGAGCCAGCACTGTGTGGGTCAAAACAAATGTGAACACCATGAAATACTCTATTTTGCGTCCCCTCTGTCATTTTCTCAGGCAGGTAATATGCTAAAACCCAAGAACAATGGAAAAACCTTGGCATCATTTCAGCATCGGACATAGCTGTTGGCCTTGAAAAACACTACTACCTTTCTCCTCACTCCAGGGGAAAGCTTAGCAACACCCAGCAATGTTTCCAGTATCACTGACAGAACCCACTGTTTTATTAGTTTCAAGCAGCATATAACCTGGCTAGATTCCTAAACCAAGGACATAAGAAAATTAAGCAGCAGACTCAATTTTGCTAGCTTTTAAATAGTCTAGAGACTGCAATTCCTGGACTATATCACTCACCATAGGTTTAATCTCTGAAATGAAATCTTGGGACATGTCAGATGGAAAAAACAGGCATGGGATCTGGACTGGATGACAGGGAGGAAATGTGGCTCTATCAGGACAGCAGCACCACCTCAACTCTTCAAGGTTTGCAAAGTGCCCAAAAGGCCTACACAGCTATTACAGGGAGATCTTTGTCATCTTAAGGTATTAGGGCATCCCCAACCACTTATAATAACAATTCTTCCCTGTGTATAAAATGTTTACCAAGTATGCTAATTTGCTCAATCCTCTTAATATCTCTTAGAAAGATAGTACCAGCCTGAATTCAAGTTTTGACTCTACTTTTCAGGATTAGTGTAACCTTAGCTAAATCCCTTTAAACATCTCTGGGCTTCAACTTCTTTTATAAAAAGGGGATGACCTGGCTCGGCGCCTGTGGCTCAAGCGGCTAAGGCGCCAGCCACATACACCTAAGGTAGCGGGTTCGAATCCCCAGCCCGGGCCCGCCAAACAACAATGATGGCTGCAACCAAAAAAAAAAAAATGGCCAGGCGCTGTGGCGGGCACCTGTAGTCCCAGCTACTTGGGAGGCTGAGGCAGGAGACTCGCTTGAGCCCAGGAGTTAGAGGTTGCTGTGAGCATGATGCCATGGCACTCTAACCAGGGGGATAGCTTGAGGCTCCGTCTCAAAAAAAAAAAAAGGGGGATGACCTGCCAAGCCTCCCTTACATGGGATTATAAAAATTCAAAAAGATAGTAATATATATGAAAATGGTTTTGAAAATTCTAAACATATGAATATTATATAAAATTGATATGAATAGGAAAATGGGAAGACAAAGGGACAAAAGATTCTGGGAACACTTGAAGATTGAGAGATCACAAAGAATGAAAGCAGGCAGGCACACTAGTGGCTTATGCCTATAATCCTAGCACTTTAGGAGGCCAAGGCAGACAGATCACTTGAGGTCAAGAGTTTGAGACCAACAGTCTCTACAAAAAAATAGAAAAATTAGCTGGGAATGGTGGGTGCAGGTCTGTAGTTCCAGCTAGTGGGAAGGCTAAGGCAGAAAGATTGCTTGAGCCCAGGAGTTTGAGATTATAGTGAGCTACGATCATGCCACTGCACTCTAGCTGCCAGAAGACAAGTAAGACCATGTCTCAAAAAAAAAAAAAAAAGAATGAAAGCAATGTAATAAACCAGACATTGGCAACCAATAGCCGTGGGTCAAATCTGGCTTGCAGATTTTTGTTTTAAAGAAAAAATACACAGCCAAGCATGGTGGCTCACGCCTGTAATCCTAGCACTCTGGGAGGCTGAGGCAGGTGGATTGCTTGAGCTCATGAGTTAAGATTAGTCTAAGCAAAAATTGACCTCATCTCTACTAAAAATAGAAAAAACTGAGGCAAGAGGATCACTTGAGCCTAAGAGTTTGAGGCTGCTGTGAGCTATGATGATGCTACGGCATTCTACCCAGAGCAACAGTTTAACATTCTGTCATCTCAAAAAAAAAAAAGAAATGATACATATTGCTCATTTTCACTTATTCATTATCTGTGTCTGCTTTTGAGCTATAAAGGCAGAGTTGATTAGTTGTACAGTTGCATATGGCCCACAAAGCCTAATATATATATTTTTTGTTTGTTTGTTTGTTTTGTTTTTTGGTTGGTTTTTTTTTTTTTGAGGCAGAGACTCACTCTATTGTCCCAGGCTAGAATGCCGTGGTGTCATAGCTCACAGCAACCTCAAACTCCTGGGACTACAGGCATGCTCCACCATGCCTGGCTAGTTGGTTTTTTTGTTTGTTGGTTTTGTTTTTTCTATTTTTAGTAGAGATGGGGTCTCACTCTTGCTCAGGCTGGTCTCAAATTCCAGAGTGCTAGCATTACAGGCATGAGCCACCATGCCCTACTGTAAAATATTTTCTAAAAGGTCCTTTACAGACAGAGTTTACCTATCCCTGTAATAAGTCAAACACATACATTTTTAACCATGATAAGTAATCCTATCTATATGTAGAGACTTACCAGTTATATTGTTTAAAACCTCCTTTAAATGACTGAAACTATGAAGCAGTGGATCACGTTCTTCATCCTGTAGGACACATAAATTAAAAACAAGTCATTATGGGGCACCCATAGCACAATGGTTACAGCGCCAACTACATGCACCGAGGGTGGGGGGTTCGAACTGGGCCCAGGTCAGCTAAACATCAATGACAACTGCAACAAAAAAATAGCCTGTAGTTCCAGCTACTTGGGAGGCTGACGCAAGAGAATCGCTTAAGCCCAAAAGAGTTTGAGGTTGCTGTGAGCTGTGACATCACAGCACTCTACCAAGGGTGACATAGTGAGACTCTATCTCAAAAAACAAGGCATTATTAGTCAAAAAGAAGAAAAAGTAAATAAAGGCTAGATCAGCTAGCTTATATACACCTAACGTGGCAGGTTCGAATCCAGCCCAGGCCCACCAAAACAACAATGACGGCTGCAACCAAAAAATAGCCGAGTGTTGTGGCGGGCACCTGT